CAAATAAACTCTAATAACAATTTTAATCACTTAGATGTCTGATTCTAAGTTCTAAACTAGGGGGAGATAAGCTAGTAGTAAAATGCAGTTGAGAAATTCTTCATAAAATCTTAGGGGCTGGTAGCCAGTCTCCCTTATTGGCACACAGACATATCTGGGTTTCACACAAAAGGTTTCCAAGAGGTTAGCTGTGTGCTGTGTCCGGGAGACCAAATGTAGAATTATGATTTATATAATATTAACTTTGGAAAACAAAATTTTCCTGGCGGTTTCCAAAGTTAATATTATATAAATCATAATTCTGGCATGCTTTTGATAAAAATATGAAAAAGCTATCCACTGGAATAGATCAATCTGGAGAAATATTGATCAAAATCTGTTACAAACTTCGTAATGCTGGCAGTTGTCTGCCAGAAATTAAATACAATGGTACCTACCTCCGTGAATCTGGACACATCATCGGCGCATTTAGAGATCTATTTATGAATGAAATCGACGAGTCGTTCGGTAATGGTATTCGTTACCAAAACGTTTTAGTTAATATTGATGATGTTCAAAATAATAATAATGAAAAAGATAGTTCTCGCGAACTTAACTTAAACTGTATTTACAGGTAATTTACACTCCTTTGCTTTTTATGAAACGATGTATCTTACGATATTACTTCAAATTTGTGCTTGGTTATTATTAGCGATTTATTAATTGGAGTAGAATTTTCATTTTTTGTTAACAAAAGTAGAACGGTTATCTTTACAAAGAGCAGACAACACACATTGCCCTAAGACATGTTTTATATTGATATGGAAAAGCTGCATTAATGTTGAAAACATTACTGATGTTGGAGTTTTGTAGAATGTTAAATTATGTTCGTCAGATAAAACAATTGCAGCATGTTAAAAAAAATACATGACTCTCATAACGTCTAGTGCTCACCCTAGAACTCTTAACGCATTAACTGTTTTCGAAATATATTTTTTTCGATATGCCTTGTATGGATACGAATTATAGACACAATTTTGAATATAGTTATTTAAAGTATATCTTTTACTATATATTCTCAAGTTCAGTCCTTAAACAATTCTTGTTATCGGTATTTCTCAAGAAGTACTAGAGGGATCTTTCTCAAATTTTATATATAGGTTCCCCTTTGTCCTAAGCTGTGCAGGGCAACTTTTGAGACTGATCGGATAAACAACATGGCCGACAGGCAGCCATCTCGGATTTTGATATTGAAAGTTTGTTATCGCTATTTCTCAAGAAGCACCAGAGGAATCGTTCTCAATTTTATATGTAGGTTCCCCTTGGTCCTTAGCTGTGCAGGGCAACTTTTGAGACTGATCGGATAAATAACATGGCCGACAGGCAGCCATCTTGGATTTTGATAGTGAAAGTTTGTTATCGCTATTTCTCAAGAAGTACCAGAGGGATCTTTCTCAAATTTTATATGTAGGTTCCCCTTGGTCCTTAGCTGTGCAGGGCAACTTTTGAGACTGATCGGATAAACAACATGGCCGACAGGCAGCCATCTTGGATTTTGATAGTGAAAGTTTGTTATCGCTATTTCTCGGGAAGTACGGGAGGGATCTTTCTCAAATTTTAAATGAAAGCTTCCCTTGATCCCTCGTTGTGCATGTTATATTTTGAGACTGCTCATAAAAACAAAATGGATTAAAAGAAGAACTAAACAGATCTTTCTTTTATTGCAATAATCGATTATATTTCTTTCAGATTAAGTACTGTACTAGTAAATATGTGAAATGACAATCTCACTTTGAAGGTTGGCTTTCATACACATCAGTATTAAGTTTAGATCAAAAGTTACCTCAAGGTACATTAACTGTTAACATGACTCGATCAAACAGATTAGAGGAAAGAAGAGAAAAGATCGAACTGACAAAGAACTAATGAAGATGGTACAAAGGTGGGCGCCAAGATCCCTCTGGGATCTCTTGTTTCTAAAACATCTTATATATCATTTGAATGTTTTTTGTGAAAGCGGGTTTATCCCTGACATTGTAATAATTTATGTACGCATTTCAGATTCTGTTTTCTCTAGAAAACCGAGTTTCATTTACTCATGATATAATTTGTCCACATATTTTATGGAAACTTGCGTTGAAGATTCCTAAGTGCTGAGGCAAGGTAAACAATTTACTAAGATTGTGTGTCGACGTATGACTCTCTAAAATAATATCAAGTTAGTTTTGTCATTTTGTGTTATTTCAAACAGTTATCTTGCAACCTATATTAGCATCCCCGTATAAAAAGAAACTGAGAGTCTTAGAGACGATATATGGTGAGTTGTTAGCACTGCATTTAAAATTGAACGAACTGTTATATGCGCTCTTTGACAGATTGCAATTTGATTCATGTAATTCGGTGGTACTTGGGTTGTATCCTCCATAAAAGATTGGATCAACATGACTAGGAAAACAGTTCAATCAATTGTGCAAACTTTTGTCGATAAGATAGTGCAGTTGTATCATTCATAAGATTGTAAATATATGTGTATATTCGCGAATGTATTACGCTTGTCATATTGGGCGGATATTTTTGTCACACAAACGATGCATGTTCATACATATTTTTGTACATTTGTGTATTTAATGACAAATTTACATTCATTATCCTGGTTGTTGAATATTTGTTCCTATAGCTCTTCAATTTGGACGATATAACGAAATAAAAAACCGAGACAAAGAAACAGAAATCTATAATTTCTAGAATTTGAACAGGCTCTGTGTGAGGTCGCTTGGTATGCCCACCGGTCGGTGATCGAACCCTAGCGTTAAGGGGGCACGCGCTGTTGTTGAGATACAATAGGCTCTTTAGGGATGTCTTGTTCTCAGTCTGTTATAGGTCATGTCAGTTTGTGTTAGATACGTTGTCTGTATGCACTAGGTGAAGTAGGGATTCTTCTTGAAACAAAACGAGGTTAGTTGAATGTTCGAAATTTTCAATACATTTAGTTTTATGTCAAACCAACATTTCAATGTTTATAAAAACTACGCCGACTTGTTATGATGAAAAAAATAAAAAATAAATATTTTTTGTTTGTTTGTTACTGAAACATAAATAACATTTCAACTATGACTGTACGTAGTATTGTATATACATGTATTATAATGTTATTCTCCATAGAAAATGCGTAAATGTAACGTTGGTTATCGGAGTTAATACACTTAATGTACGTAAGAGAACGCCATATATTTCGCCAATCTGACACACTGACCGGAAGCCCCTTCTGACCAGAAGTGCTCTAACGACGATGTCCATTATATGGGATCAACTGCAATGGCCAAATATGACACCGAGACAATGGCATACCAGTCTCTACCGCATGTGGTCAAGTTCTATTTCCAGACAAGTTGGAATGGTCAGTTGTAAGTCCACTAGATGACCGGGTCGATACGCATTAGCAGTTATATCTACATCAGCATGTCGCTGTTAGCTTTATATACATCGTCATGTCATGGGATATGATAGTGTCTATATGTGTGAGGACTATGAAATAAGCCATATATTGGCACAGTGATAGTTTTCCGTTTGGCGCATCCTAGGAAGAGGCATTGGCCAAAATAACCTTATTTTATAAACTACATCATGTTTTAAGGTATGGACATTATATCCAAAGAAAAATCCCCAGCACAACTTTCACCGCATCCCCAAATCCACCTCGTAAAATCAAGGTTGGTGTTGGTTTGCAAATGAAAAAACTGATCCATGCTGTGGCCGTACATTAATCTATAGTGTACATGTATGTGACCATAATCGTTGAACATGGAGTCTATCGCTTTACTAAGCTTCTAATATCTTAAATGAACGTCTAACTTCATGTACCTTTGTACAAATATAACAGTCAATAGTTAATTAACACAATTGTTTACAGGTAGGAACAGAAATTTACAAAATGAACTGATTTACTAACAGAAAAAAGTCGAGTATGCTTTTCTCTTCCTTTAAATAGAAAATACAACACACGATATTTTAATCAATGTGTCGATCAAAAGCATGAAAATAATCAGCAAAAAGAAAAAATATAATATTCTGTTATTGATAAATGACATTTTGTTACATCTTTGATTCAATTCAATTCAAAAGTATTTTATTGACAAAACATAAATATAATACAAACATATAAGTTGTATGAATATTGAACAAGATGTTAGTACAGTATTTACAAACGAATCAGACAACAGGCTATGCCTTTATCAGTCTTCTTCTATTTCCGGTATACAATGATTAAATATATAGAATGTTGTTCGTATCTTTGGTATACGGTCGAACCCGGTTATATTGAAATCCTCGGGGATTGGAAAAATACTTCAAATTAACCGAGTTTCAATATAAACGGGGACCAATTTTTATGAGAATTTCTTTTTACACAACCAATAACATTTTCTATGTACACTAGTTGTTATATATGTACCGAAATGACTCAATTCAGCTACGCTTTGTTAACACTTGGTCATAGATATGCGGGAGTCTTTGAGCCCCCTCGTCTCGATTTAGAACTGGCCCACTGCTGCGTATCCAGATGGCTTCCTTTATCTGCAGCTTGAACTGATTGCTCCCTCTGTCCAAAACTTTGGAGTAGCTGAATTGAATCATTTCGGTACATATGTAACAATTATTGTACATACGTTTCCAGCGTAGCCGAAATCGACATCGATTTTATGGACAACTCGTACACATTTTACACCTTTGTGTGCATACGTTTCATTGGTCAATTGTCTGATGAAGGTGACAGTGTACATATCGTACTAGTCATCAAAACGTCACATAGAAATTGTTATTGGTTGTGTAAAAAGAACTTCTGATAATCAATACTTACCAACCTGAAGAAAATGTTTAGAAATAACCGGGAACCAACATGAGACAGCTAAATCAGCCTTTTTATGTAGCCTTTATCGTATTTCTAGTACACAGGTAGATAAACAGTACTGTGTGCCGTCCATGTAAGGATATGTACGTATGATCGGACAACAGTACATGTTCAGTTTAATCAACATTTTATTCCAACATTTAATATTTGAGCAGCTATTTACATTGTAGTTCAAAATCTGGAATCATTCTCTTGTTGTCGGAAAGTCTAATTTGATTCAGTATATGTATTCCATGACACCTATTGTTTATGACGTCACGGCTTAAGATACATGCAGTCTGAACCTTGGTATGTGGCCACAGGACTGTTGAGGAGGTTGGTGAATCCTTGTTGCTTGAGAAATTGAACCACCTCGTCATTATAGTCCCGTTTAAACGTTTCGGGGTCTCGCGCCAATACGAAGAGTGTGACTTTCAGGTTGTCGGTCACTACGGAGTACTGGTACTGGGTATCATTTCCGAATGTTGCGGGTCCGAGTTTGATCACCCAGTCTGGAATGACCATTCACATCATAGTTTATCTTTAAATCTCAACAATGAATAGTAGTATAGCATATGCACATCACGCTTGTCAGAATGACAGAAAATAGAAAAATAGAATAATACGATGACTTGTCATTATTTTTCAGTTATGGACTATTGTTAAGAGGAATATGTGTTTAAATGAACACGAGAAAGAGATTTACCTAGATGAAGTTAACTAAAATGCAATATAATTCAGAATGGAATTGAATGGAGTTGAAATGGGCTGACCTTCACCTAACACGGCCTACTTATATACGATATGTACTTACAAGGGGCGGGGAAAGGGGCCGTCTCGAGATTTACGGTTAATTTTCCCGGATCACTAGACGTAGTGGCGTATCCGTTGATAGTTTTGAACGTTCCATTCGGAGTCTTTAGGGTTTCTCCATTACGGACGATCACTTTCCCAGATCCATCTGTTGACATCGAATCTGCAATCGATAAGAGGAAATTCTGAGATAAAAATGTATACCAAGATCAATCCGTTTGCATGGAATATATGTTACAGATAAGAGCAAATTGAACTCAAAATGTATACTAAAATCCGTCAAAGCAACCTTGAGCTTAAAATCTATCGATAAACATTACAATAAAATATATCAAGCTCCGACCACCTAGACATTTGACTTTGATACTAAGCCAAAGTTCACAATATTTGAGTAAATGATGTTATAAAATTCGGTTTTTGAAGTCACTGTAATATTTGAAGGACTTACAGTCGGCTGTTACGCATAGAGCGTCCTTCTCAAACGTGGCAACCACTGATTCGCTGGCGTACATCTGTGGGCGGAACCAATAATGCAAATGAGAAACAATGAAGATTTTTTTTCAAATCAATTGACTATTTAAAAGTTATATGACTGCTTAAAATGATTAAAATATAACTCTTAAAATATCATTTTTTAAGTATTTATTTTGTTCTCTAAGTAATAGTCTATAAGTCTTTCAATGAACTCTTTTGAAACATGATATTGTTAGATACCCATTCTAATTGACACCCACTTTCAACACAAAGTTCATACAGGAGTATTATCCGCCCTTGACTATTGAAGATTACTTTTTATGTCCATTCTTCAGTTAAGAATATTCACCTCATACAATCTATTGTCTTACAACTTTGTTAGCACCGCATGGGGATGGAGATCACCAAGGTAAGTGTATCAATGGAACCCAAACAAGTTCGCACGGTATTGGGGACGATCTCTCCTGGATGGTGTCGATACCTGCGTTTATTTCGATAGCAAGCAGAAATAATACGATGTTGCATTTTGCATAATATCATTTCTGCGTCTAAGGAAGAGGAGGACGGCTGCATTGTACGTTGCATGAGCTGCTTTTATGTAAAAAGTAATTTAAAGCAGTAAAATATATGTTGGTATTGAGGTTTCGTTTTAATAGAGGGCAATGAAGTTTCAGCAATGTGCTTCGGAAAAGTCACGACTGAATGGATAAGGATGTTTACGTGAGACTATTGGTGAATCCATATGCACATTGTACGTCAATAAAAAGGGCAGATCTCGATGAGAAATATCGGACACTTTCTACAAAGGTTTGTCTAGAAAAATATATAATTACGTTTGGTTCCTTAGTCAATGTCTGCGTGATCCTACGCTGTAACCACTGAATGATTATTTAAACACCTAGCCCCCACTCGTGAAGCTTTACGCGGTAAGTAGTTTAAGAGATATAGAAGACGAATTCCAGTTTATCTTGATTTGTCCATTTTATAGCGATTTAAGGCACATATTGATCAAACATGTTACAGAAAAACTTCCATTTTCAAAAGAATTCAACTTCATAGTATAAATCTTGTTAGAGCGATATCCATTTGAGGAAAATATTAATATTTAGGATCCAAGAGGTGTTTATTATAGGTTTGTGTATTGTGGTGTAATGTGTAATCGATTTTGTATACGTCATTTCCTGTACCTGCTGACAATAGCTGACTTTCGCCCTTGAAGAAGGCAAGGAGGCCGAAATCTCGGGATTTAGAGTGACATTCGTTCTATAATGTAAAGTGTTAATTAAGTATTAGTAAATTGTTATTTATACATTGTTGAACAGTGTTTTATGCATACGGTGGTGTCATTCTCGTGTTCATTCGAATTGTGTTTCGAGAGACTGTTATCATATGTTTATATGTATGTACCTATAAGTCTAAGAGCTTTTGGCTAGTAAAGAACCCGAGAATCTTAGATATGACAGACGAAAGGTTCACGTACCTGATACCATCGTCCCAAATACTTAGGCACGTCCAATTCTGTGACGGTTTTGATACCACTTCCCAGTCCGAAACTATCTAAAAGGAAGGCCGAAATGGCCGGTGCGAAGAGGGTGATTAATACTGCGCTGTACATGATTATTGTTGGTTTGTGGAGCGGTAGGACCCCATCTTATAGTCATACAGTTGTTACATAAAGCTGATAACACACGTGTCGTCGACACATTTTAAAGCACGTGATCATGACGAAAGGTTGGTCAGCGAATCCCCTAATCTAAAGACAACGTCACAACTCATTTCAGGACACTATCACCTTTTGATCAATCTTATCCTAGCTGTTTACGTTAAGTTATTTACGTAAACATTTTTCGATCAGGTGTAAATATAAGGACAACATTCTGATCTTACAGCATTTAACTCAAATTATGATATACATGTATTTCAGTGATTCAAAGGCTTTTTTCCTGCTGGAAAAAGCAAAGTCCTTTACTTAATGACAGTATTGTCACCTTTAAAAAAAAAAATTCTATTGTTAATTTGTAACATTTGTTTTATATTTTGTAACATTGTTTGAGTGACAACCATGCAAAAGCAGTTTCAGTGATTGATGTCAGTACCCTGTATGCTCACTTTAATACTTTGAGGTAGACCTCCAATTCCTCTTATCGGAACTGCCCTGCCGATGTTGGTTTGATATTAATATATATCGACCTGACTTAAAGATTGTGGAGTAGCAACCGTTTTGGTACCAAACAGACGGGAGGAAAGCAACATTGAAAAGGCGGGTCCAGATAAATAAATCATCCTCGCTTACTACTTTGGGTTACGAACAATATATATAAGCGAAATAACATCCAGATATACCGTATTATAAGTAAACTTTGGTCACATGTATTTCTCTTACCCTGGACAGGGATATCCACCATTTTACCGGTGTGAGATTTTCTTATCTCACCCTAGGGTGGAGACAAGCTACACGTGTTCTTTGCACGTTCTCAACAAGTGTATGACGTCATAGCAACAATACCATGACGTCACGTCGACAATTAGGCCGCATCACATCAACATTGTCTTGCATTGATGTAACGTCTATATAAAATACATAAGAGGGTAAACAGGGTAAGAGAAAAATAATCATTCACCCCCTTGGGAGTGAAACAGGGTGATCTCAACCCTCGGGGTACGATTCTTAAGCTGTCAAACACTCGGCAAGCCTCGTGTTTGACAACTTAAGAGTATTACCCCTCGGGTTGAGATTACCCTGTCTCACCCCCAAGGGGGTGAAAGATTCTTTTATTCTCCCATCCTTCACATGTGTGTCTCCCGTTTGAGCCGGGAAAGATCAGCTTGTCACCCTAGAGATAGCCTCGTGCCGATTAGCACGTGTTCAACTGTGACGTCATCAAAATGCGTCATCGGTAATTGTGACGTCATAAAAGTAAATGACGATATGCATACCCCACATGCGTTTTTGTTTACAAACCTGGCAGACTAATGTCGATGGAGTTATGAAATAATAGGATGGGAGAAAAATAATCATCCCCTACCTTGAGGGTGTGACAGAGAAATCTCCAACCTGAGGGTGATGTATTTTGGTTGTCCAACCTGAGGCTCTGCCGAGGGTTAGATAACCCAAAAAATCACCCCGCGTGTAGGTAGGGGAAGATTCTAAAGGTAGGGGAAGATTCTATTAGTCATGCTAGTTACGTCGAATATTTGCAGGAAATCTAAGTTCTTCCAATATGATCGGAAATAGAGACTAAATGTTAGTTTTGCAATTCATTATCAGTAGCATGCACTCAATATAGTTCCAATACCGTAATAATACCTCTTCGAAACAATAAATATAACCATCATGCTTTGAAAAAAATTCAAATAAAGAAAAGTTGACGAAAATTAACGAGAAAGGTCTTAAACATATATGATAAATATAAGTATATTAGTTTTCAATCCGTCCGTCCATCCGTCCGTCCAAGTGTCCGAATAATATCACGGCAACTTTTACATATACTGTACATATTTTGTTTTCTTCTCGAAAATACTCACGGAATACACAGCCTACAGGTACGGGGAGGGTGACTTTCCCTATGTATCCCACAGCATAACCATAAGGAACAACTAAAGGGACAACTAACGTTGGCCCAGCTAGATAGACAATCGGAGAATTTCTTCTATGTCCCTTTATGATGTGGCCACAAGACAGCCGTGTAAAGACGAAACAACGAAAAGACGATATTTCTACCACGAAAAGACGACACTTTGAATTCTCTAATTATAGCGTGCCCTTTTCTCGTCTATTCGCATGTAATATCTCGTCTTTTCGTCTTTTCGTCTTTTCGGAGAGAAATGACGAAGAAACGAGATTTAAGGATAACTACTAAATGTCGTCTTTTTGGGGCGAAAATACGAAAATACGACACAACGAGAATTAAGATTTGTTAATTGTCGTCCTTTCGGGGCGAAAAGACGAAACTACGAAATGGCAAATATCAGCCACCGTAGTGGCGTGTTAAACTATTTTATTTTAATCTTTTCTTTCGTCAAAACATATACGATACTGTAGTCAAACACGCATTTATTTCAACATCAACAAAGCTACATACAAATGTATTTAATAACAACCACAACACTATCCTATGTCAACCGCATAACTATCTCGCGGCTGATCTTTATACAGAGTGCATCCCGGAAGCGCTATCCACATTTCTCTTGCATAGCTTCAATAACCACCTTTCAAAACATTTAAAACCAGTGTATAAATTGCTAAACAATTAATTGATGCTTCACCTACATCAGAGAGTTTTAGCATGCAGAGTTCTCTCTCTGAGAGTCAGTAGCCCATTTACAAATGAAGTGTCGGACAAAGTGACGTATCAAACTGACCAGTACTGTTACTGAGTACGTGAACAGCGAGTTACATGTGAAAATGGGATGATATTCCACGCATTATCTATACATGTGTTAATGATACAATTGATGAGACCATAAATAACAAATACCCACGCTTAATAAGTCGATAATGGCAGCCTACCGCATTACGTCCCTTTGACGCGACTCTAACACCACCACACTTGTGACAAAAGTTGCAGACGCGCGTAAGGTAGTTCCGGTGTAACCAAGGTCCGGCGTCTAACGTCGTGAGGGTGTTGACATCTAGTGTGTATCAATCAATACGTGCCGTTTTGATAACATATGATGACATAAGACCATCATAATGCGGAATTGTCATTCGATAACAAAGATTTTAGGATGAACGAGCAGATAACATGGACGATCGAAAGGACGATAAAGGTAAATGTTCATTCTGAGAAATAAGCCCAAGGTGCACAAGTAACGTTATGGACACTATCCAGATACGCTTTTTCAGCAAAACAATAACTCTTTACTCTCACGATCCCACTTAACTTTTTTGGTGTCATTGTCGTCATATAGCCAAAAATTCTCTCACCTCTTACATATTTGTGTAAATTGGCAGTGTTTTGGGGGTATTTCGGGAAATTTTCACAAGTATATTTTGAATGATCGCACCTTTATGGTAATAATTTATCACACCCACGTTCATGAGGGGGTGGGGATGGTGGGTGGATTTACATACTAACATAGACAGAAAAAACACTGATGGGTAGATAGGTAGGTAATAAATGTCTTTTAGGAAATAAAATTAATAAAAATGGTTTAGCATTCACTCTCACAAGATAAAGAGGTTATAAACCACATTTGTAAACAACATTTATTAAATGGGTTCTTCTTTTTTTTGTTTACAATTTCATAAAACATACAATGTAATCCCAGCCACAGTAAAATCATGCATAGGTTAACAAATTTAATTTTAGAATGCTTTCATCTATGTATGTCTGATCCAATGATGCATGATTACAACATGAAAATCAGACACTACTTCAGAGATTTGAATCATTTCTAGATATACTTTTGATTCCTTTACTATAAAACAAGAAACCCTTCCTTTTTGGAATAGTATCACAACACTTATTTAATCTATTTTAACAATGAATGTCCATGGTGATGTGCAGGTTTGAATGTGTAAACTATTCTTGTCAAAAATATTAAAACATTACCAGTAAAAAAACAAATAACATTATAAATCCCTTTATATGATTTCAGATTCTATCATTGTTAAGGGAGGGAAAAGATACTGTTTACTGTGCTCCAACTATGCAGGTAAAATTTGTGATGATGGTACAACAGTAAAACTGCACTGCATTCCATCAGGTGACGGTGCCGATCAAACAACAAGGAGATCATTGTGGATTCAAAAAATCAAACTTGTGCGACCAGATGCTCCAATTAGCTCCAACTCTAGACTCTGCAATTTCCATTTTGAAAACAATATATGCAAACAGGGATCTATTCCATCCAAATTGAATCTGACCACACCAAGGAAAATAGTGTTACCCCGCAGACCTTTAGTGCGCTATTCTGAATTTGAGAACACTGAAAACATTCCCTGTAGGGATACATGTATATCTTCTACTATTGGTTCTTTGTCTTTAAAGGAAAGTTCTGAAACACAGACTGACCCTATAGTTGGGGATTCCGTATATGTCCAGACATCAGATGTGCATGTAAGAGATGATGCTACACAGACACAATTAAATAAGGCCAAATGTATGAAATCATCTGCATCTCAGACATTTGTTCCTATTTTCAAACCAGAGGTAATTGAAAACGATGATGAGAAGACAAAATATTATACTGGTTATCCAAATTATGCAACATTTTTACTGTTTTTTACTACTTTCTGCAAGCATGGTGCAGAAAAGTTGACTTACTGGGAAGGGGAAAAAAGAACTCAACTACATGCAGAAGACAGAAAGTATTCCCACCCAAATATTGAGAAACCTGGGAAGAAAAGGAGCCTACGAACAATCGATGAGTTCTTCATGGTGTGTTTGAAGTTGAGGCATGGTCTTCGGCAAGAATTCCTTGCAGATTTATTTAGTGTGTCTGTTATGACAGTTTCTCGAATCATTAATACATGGATAAATTTTATGTTTGATCACATGCAGTCCCTTATCCCATGGCCATCAAGAGAACAAATTTTAAGCAATTTGCCTAAACATTATACAGAAATGACTCGGGTTCGGATAGTTGTAGATGCTACAGAATTCTTTTGCGAGAAACCGGGAAACTTGGAGGCTCAATTTCTGACATGGAGTGAATACAAACACCATAACACATATAAAGTTTTAATTGGAGTTGCACCCAATGGTCTAGTAACATTTGTGTCCAGGGTTTGGGGAGGGCATGCATCAGATAGACATATTGTGCAAAAAGATGGTGACCTCTTCTTACCAAAGTTAGAACCTGGAGATGTTATTCTTGCAGACAAAGGCTTCACTGTTGGAGATTTACTTCCTGCACATATAGGACTAAATATGCCACCATTTGTATCATCTAGTTGTCAGATGAGTGTACAGGAATTCTTTAAAACTCAACAAATAGCTGCTCCCAGGATTGTTGTTGAAATGAAAATGGAGCAAATCAAGAACTTCAAGATATTACAATCTGTGCTACCACTTGCTGAAGTTCATTTAGCTGAACAAATAATTATGATATGTTGTGCCATGACAAATTTGTACGAACCCTTACTGAAGTGAATTATGCTGTTTGCAATGTCCTGTATTTAAGATTTCTAGATTACTACATATCAGATCATGTAAAATGTACATA